ATTCAATTGAAAGCACACACTATTCATGTTAAATTGTCATTCAATTGCACTGTTGCCTGGTGCGTGCAGCAGTTGGTTTGGAATCATACATTTATTTCTGTAAAATTATAGAACTGAAATCAAACACCAGGCTTTTTAGGTGATCTTTTGATGCCCTTAATGGTGGCCACATTAATATACACCAAAAAGAACTATCTGCCTACTAAAATGCCATAAGCATGATCTACCTGGTCATTGCACCATTGATGAAAAGTAAGAAGATTACAGTGTCCTTATTTAGTCATTCAGTTAAGGTTTGTTAAAATGAAAGGGATTTGACCTCCCATGACTTTATTCTAAACATCAAAGAAACTCGATGCCCAGAATGATGACAGAAATCAACTTCATCAATCAAAGCCTGTCCTTGCAGTGCACTGTCAAATGCTATCCTCAATACTAAAGTACCAGTGATGTTCTGTCTGGTTAAGTTTTAATTAGGCTACCAGGTCAACAATAAGAGAGGTGTCTCAAGATATCATCTGTCAGCTGCATGGATAAAAGCCCCAGCAAAAGTTGAACTAGTTGTATCTGTGATGTAACTGGGTCAATTTTCACAAGCTTGAATGATGGTTCAAAGCCTTTGTGCAAATTTTATTTCAAAGGTTGCCATTCCTTCAAAGTCCATACTTCTGATATCTGAGTAACTTCATTACAGTATTGGGTTGTTTTAAAGATCCTAGAGTGACCCAGAACTGTCGATGGCTTAGAAGTAAATTATTTAGATGATATCTGTTGGCACTGCGTTGTGTTCAGTAAACCCAACACAATATTGTACAGTCAGCTGTGAAAATAAACTTAATTTATGCCAAGTTTAAAAGTTGTGTTGCAAGGATTGTTATTTAATGTACTGCAAACAAAGCAGAATATTCACAGTAACGTGGCAACAGTCTGAGAGCAAGCCAGACTGGTCAGAATCTTGGTGTCACATTTGACCTTGAGGTGAGCTTCTAACCCCATACAAGGCCAACAAACACCTTATTTCTGCCTCAAAAACATCACGTAACCCACTCCTGCCTTAGCTCACCTATTGCTGAATACCTCATGCATATCTTTATTGCCTTCAAATTATTCCACCAGGTTTCTGGTTGACCCATCACATCGTACACCTCTCCAACTTGAGTGGAAGAGATTTGGGTGAATTCATATCCAGATTTGCACTTATCACCTCTGCACTTGCTGACGAAATTTTGATTCCTGGTAGAGCACCATTCAATTTTAAAATTCTGTCCTTTGCTTTTAAGTCCCACATTGCACTTCCTCTCCATATCTTTGGAATCCTCTCTACCTCTACAACTCTCCCAGAAATCTGTATTTGTCTAATTCTAGCCACATGAGCATCCCCTGACTCAATGCTTCACCATTGGCAGCATGCCTTCAGCTGGCTAAGCCCTAAATTACAAAATTAAATCTCTAAATCTTTGTGCTTTTTCTCCTTTAAGAACCCACAAAAGAATCCACAAAACCTACCTCTTTAAACCTAGCTTTTGACCATTTACTTTAATATTGCTTTATGTGGTTCAGTGTTCTGCTTTATAACACTCCTCTGAAGCCCCTAAGGAACCTTCATTATGCTAAATATAAGATACTTATGTTTTGAAACAGCAGTTGTGTGTAAACAGGAAAGCTGAGAATAATGCAGTGATGAAGACAGCTATCTAAACTGGGGAGACTATTAAAAGTGAAAGTAGCTCTTCAGCGGAACTGACTTAGTTAATTGAAGGTTTGCATTAACCTTGGAAAAAGCAAAGAAATTAATAAGAAAATAAAATAAACAACTAGATGTAACTCATTTTAATCAGCCAAAATTATTCTAATTTACTAATCTTGCAGGTTTCAGAATATATTGAAGAAGTTTTTCTGCCCGATGACTGCTTCATTCTTGTTAAGCTTTCCCTAGAAAGAATCCGACTTCTGAGACTAGAGGTAAAGAGGGAATGATCTGGAGTTGCCTCCACCTTTCAGAAAACTTTCTCCTTCCTCTTCCTTCCTAGAGAAAATAACTAAGAGTAATTTTATTCTGATATCCTAACTTCAAGGTGAATGCAGAAACTGTGAAATACTCCATTTGCACGTCAAAACTACGAGTCAAACCAGGTGACGTTGCAGTTCACGGTGAAGCAGTCATGTGTGTCACACCTCGAGAGAATAGCAAAAGTTCGATGTACTATGTTCTTCAGTATCTAAAAGAGGAACTGCCAAAGGTAAGGAGAATTGAAAGACAGAGCATCAGCCAGTGAAATAAAAACTACTGCAGAAACTCAGCAAGTCTGATAGTGTTTGTTGGGAGAGAAACAAATTTAACTTTGAGTCCAGTATGAATCTTCTTCCAAACTCAGATTTCAGATCTCTCACATCTATAGTACTTTGCTGTTATTTACATAGTTAGTGATATGAGTAAGGTGAGATAGTTAGAAATGGACAGCATGTTTCTGCAAAGGGAATAGATGTTAACTTTTTGGATGTAGCTCCTTTATTGCCTACATAAAACCAAATTCAAAGAGGAGAACAGCTAATTTGTAAGTATGAGTGAAGTGTATCTTGCTGTAACATGAACTAAAACAGCTAAGTAGAAGATGATGGAGGTTAAAAAGACTCAGTGGTGTTGCACCACTTTCAGATGGAACCAAAGCAGTCAGCACGAGGAGATGTAATGTTAGTCAACAATCAGTGAAACATTGCTGCTGAAAGCTGGCACAAATGTGATGGGCTCAATAGCATCTTTCTGAACTGTAAAAATGCTTGATTTAAAGTGAAAAAAATGTGGCTGTTATTTGGTTACATTTTGTGTTTAAACACGCTGGAATCGTTAGAGGAAAGTATTTTCAGTATTTGTATATTCATAATTTATAACACAGCACAGAGTTCAGCTAACAAGGTCGAAATGTTTCAGATTGTTGTCCAAGGTATTCCAGAAGTCGCCAGAGCAGTTATTCATGTTGATGAGCAAGGTGGAAAGGAGAAGTACAAACTATTGGTGGAAGGTGACAATTTGCGTGCTGTAATGGCAACTCATGGTGTCAAAGGAACACGTACAACGTCAAACAACACTTACGAGGTAATCTACTTCTCTTCTCATATTTCTTAGATACATTAATACTATATTTTAATGTTGCACATATACAATGCAAATGTTAGTTAAAGCCTCTGCAAATGACACTGTTAACTGTGCAAAGCTGTGTCCAAAATGTTTGTGGGATCTGTTTTATCTCGTGTAGAGAACCTTTCTGACATTCAATCAGGCCAGAGAGCATTTTGGACAATGTGTGTTGCGGGTGTTAGGCAGACCAGTGCTAGATAAAATTCAACTGTTTGAAACTAGATGTCACAAAAGTAGGTTATGAGCGATGCAGAAATAGTGAATAATGCAACAGAAGCGATTGAGAAAATTATTGTAAAATTTAGTATTTAACATTCGCATCATCATCAGGTAGCAACCAAGAATATTTTAGTTACATTATGTCAGTTCAAAGTAATCCTAAATATATCTGCAAAAATGTTAATTTTTAAAAAGTCAAAAAATGGAAAAGTTGATTTGGTCAAATTAAACCTTGAGCACAGTGTTCAATTTTGGATCTCAAATCTCAATCACGACACATAAGGATGATCCCTAACATCATAGATATGAGTTGTGAAGAAATGCTGGTGTAATCAGAACAGGATTTATCCTCAAAGGAATATTGAAAGGGCCCTACTTGTTTAAATGACATTAATTAGGTTCATCTAGAGTCATATTTAAGGGTATGTTAGGATACAAAGGTCTCTCGTTGCACAGTGTCCCTACCTCTGAGGTGGAAGGCTTGAGTATGAAAACAAGGACACATGGTTTGAAGCAGTAATAGGAAATTTTGCAATAAATTTCAGAAAAGCTTCATGTAAAGAGATAGATATACACTTGGAATGGTTCACATGGTAGAGTAATAGACATGAAAGCCTTGTTTAGAATTCAGGGTTAAGGTAGTTATTTTTCTCATTTATGATCCAGTTTGTAATGGTCAACTTGTCTTGCAGATTGCAGGAGCAATGCAGCCCACATATCCTCTCTACAGCTAATGGCTATGTTTTGTATAAGATATTCATGTGTGTGTGGATGTGTATATAGGTTGTTTTTTCCATTGCATCTTGAATAAAATTATTACTGCCTTCCACTCCTGTAACCAACCTTCAAAGCCAAAAAAGTCATAGATTTCATCACAGTTGTCACTAATAGAGAGAGGTCTGTGGCCATAGAACATTGGTGTACCGTACTAGTGGTGACAGGGCTGTCACTGTATAGTACTGGCGGGGGCAGGTCTGTCACTGTCTAACACTGGAACACAGTACTACTGCAGTCGGGTCTGACTGTGTTTAATTCTAGGCTACAGTCCTGGTGGGAGAGGTCTTTCATTACTTTCCATTCTCTATGAGAGCTTTAATTGCTGCTTGGTAGTGGACCATGTCTAGACCCCTGTCGGGTTTTCTAGCTAGCAGATTGCTTGAAGTGTTTTGAAAAGTGGAAATCTTGCCTTTTTTTTTTTAAGCTTCTGATTTGAAATTGTCCACAGGTAGAGAAGACATTGGGCATCGAAGGTGCTCGATCCACTATCATCCATGAGATCCAATATACAATGAAAAATCACGGGATGAGCATTGACAGAAGACATGTTATGCTTTTATCAGACCTGATGACGTACAAGGTTAGATCCTGAAACTCTCAGAACAAGAAGCATTCACTGAAGAATAGTGTTCCCACTCTGAGCCAGTAACTGTTGTTTGAGGTCCCCTGTCTGCTCCTGGAATTGCTAAGAGCAACAAAGGCAGTTTAAGTGTATTGTCTATGATTAGGAAGACATCAATGGGTTAGACCTCAGCTTCTGCCTGCCACAAACAGGTGTTTGGCGATGCACATTCAAGCATCGCAATGGAAAAGTCAATTTTAGGAATGTGCCAGTTTTGTCTTAAAGCAGTACAAGGTGACAAATAAATCTTCAGAAGAGAAATAACCTTTTTTCGTCCTTTAAAATTCATTTTAAAGTCATTCCATTTTGCCTTATTGGTGTTTATTTAATGCCCGCTCATCCGGACCCCCGCACCCAAAACTAAAATGGTAGCATTTTTAAAACAATTTGTAGAGATGTTTTGTTTCTGTGATTTTTAATATTTGTTTCTGTATGTCAAACCAAAATTAAGTTGAAAACTATTTGAGATTTGATTAAATGCATGTTTCTTGTACCATCCTTAACTCTGCAGGGAGAAGTATTGGGAATAACCCGGTTTGGCTTGGCAAAAATGAAAGAAAGTGTTCTGATGTTGGCCTCATTTGAGAAAACTGCAGATCATCTCTTTGATGCTGCGTACTTTGGACAGAAGGATTCTGTGTGTGGTAAGTTAGGGCTGTGGTTTTGGAGCTTGATTTTATTGATTAGCATTGTGCCTATTACTTCAGTTGCTACTGATTTTCATTGGTCTTTCTGTGTACCTAACAACCTCCTACTCACTGGTTTTTTCCCTTTGTCTCTAAAGGTGTGTCAGAGTGTATTATTATGGGAATCCCAATGAACATAGGAACAGGACTTTTCAAACTTCTTCACAAAGCTGACAAGGACCCAGACCCACCGAAGAGACCATTGATATTTGACAATACTGAATTCCATATCCCAATTGTTACGTAGCAGGATATGCATGGACTGCTTTGAACTACAGAGTTTTATTATGACTGGATGATGGAATCCTGTTCAGTTTGTTTCGGAATACTTACAGGAGGGAATTTCCTGCAACTGTTGCTCTGTTGAGAGTACAGACCAAAATGAACATCACGCAACACCGAAATGTTGCAGTATAAGATGCAACCTGGTGAAAGGTTATATTTTATGAAAGGCTGCTAAAACATACTTGTTTTCACTGTCAAAGAAATTTATTTTAAATCATGACTGTGGCTTTTCCATAGGAATGAGTGTTTAGTAATGGTATTTATAAGTTTAAATCTTCAGGTTATCAAGGATTGATAACTTGATTGGACTGAGAGTCGAAGAATTAATTAGTAAATAAGCATAAGTGTTTTATTTTAAATTTCTATGGTTGGAATCTGGACAGATTATGATGCTAACTTGTGTGGAAGTAATCCATCAAGTTTAACATAGTAAAGGAATTATACGTTGAAGATGTTACAACTATTCTGTGTTGTTACTGGACTGGAACAACAGTGCATCCAACTTAACCTTTGCTTTGAGTTTGGCCAGAGTTTAAAAGATTATATTGGGAAATGCTGGTCACATAATTAGGTTTTCCTGTCTCAAAGCAAAAAAGACAATGGATATTTTGAATTGCTGTAATTGGAAAAGTATCCTTTTGGAATTGCAACACAATGGATTTACCACTGCAGAAACAAAATAAACATCTCTTTGTCCAGAATATTAAATTCTATTAATGTGGACATTAATAAATGTGTTGTCAATCCTGTTTAGAAGGAGGCAGGGCATTGCTCGTGGCACAAGTTGTCTACAAGAAAGTCTCATCGGAAGTCATTTACTTTAACTTTTTTTTCTCTTTTTCCTCCCTCTCCTTCCTCTTCCCATCCCCAGTTGCCAAACTTGAATCTCACAATGGATTAAATTTGTACTGAAGTATCCATTTCAGGCTGTGTTCCAATCATATTTTCTGGAGTTGTGCACGTTGATTTTTAAGAGAGTGGAGGAAAAATAGTGGTGGACATTAAAACCAAATCCATTGTCATGGAAGCCTAATGTACATGTATGTAATTCTCGGTGGGAGAGTCGTACTAATTTTATTCTCATAAACCTATCTCAGTGATGGGGAAAAGAAGCTGGAAAATATATACTTTCTCTTACTTCTGTAGCAGATTATCTTCAAATTTCAAGATGCAGAAGGTACTGTCTAGTTTCCTCCAACACAATTAATTCATTTTCAAGTCCATAATTTTACCTGTTTAATATTTTGCTTCCCTCCCTACACCAAAATTTCTCGCAAGAAGGCAGAATTAATTGAAGTTTAATTATAGAATCAAATTTTAATTCTGTAATAAGTGCACCCATGTTTTGCAAAAAGTATTTGATTCTACTGAAGGTTAACATGCTCATTTGGTCTAGGTTTTGCTGGCAAATTTGGAACGATTAATGAGTGGTGGCTTTGAGCTTTCTGTGTGAATTCGTGAACTTCCTGAGGTGAATATTTTAAGGCATGTTAGAGGGCAGTTAAGAGTCAGTCATAGTGTGGCAGCACTGGAACAGCATAAAAGGCAGATCAGGCAACAATGGCAAATTAGATTCTCTAAACCAGTGAATGAGTTACATTTTTACAGAATCAATCTTTTCAAATTCTCAGATTTTAAACTGCGTTTAATTTGTCATGGAGTGGAGCACTGCTTCACTGGATTAATCGCCAAGACTTCTGAATTGCTTGACCATTACACTTGTCCTGTTAAATTTGCTGGATAAAATTTGGATCATTATTTCACATAATGTTAGACATTTGAATTATACTTCTGATTTTTAAGGATCTCTCCATTTGTTCCTCAGCTTCACCACCATGAAGTGTGATTTTAAATAATGATTCTCGCTGTGTATAAGTGCACTAGCAAGAAAACAAAACATGACATTTGCTAATACCTACCCTTTTAATAGGCTCTGCCAAATACAAAACATTTTCTCTCCACTAGTCAAAACAGACCAGTCACAGATTCAAAGGGAGCAAAAAAGTAACAAACTTTCAGCTATGAAGTGATCATTCTGCTTGGTAAAGTGGTATTGTTTGGTGTATAGAAGCAAGATTTGATTGAAGTAAGCCATCATTAATTAGTGCACCATCTCCAGATTAGGGAATGGATACATTTAAGAAACCTTGTAACAGTGATTTTCAGACTTATTGTTGGGGAACTCATTATAGTGATACCTTTCCATCACATAGAGATTGTGTCAATTTTGCAGCAATTTTCAGTGAATTCTATCAAAACTAAGTCCTGTAGTTTCCCTTCCTCCAAAGTAGCTGTCCATTAAGCAATGTAGATTACTTGCAGTGGACTTTTTTTTTCTGTTTCACACCTGTTTTCTGCTCTCCTGAAGGTAGGTGTAATTCAGATTTACATAAACTAGTCTGGTTGAGATTGTAAATTAATTTTACATGCAAAAAGGCAAAACTAGATATATTTTTGGGACATGACATGATCCTGGTGTGAAAACACCAACATTAGGTGTTCAAATTCCACCATAGAAACCAAATTCAGTAATTTATCGTATAAACTGTGGCTTGATACCAGAAAAATAATCATGAAAACTGTAGACTTGTAAATCCAGTTCATTAATGTCCTTTAGGGAGGTGATCTAGCCACCTCATTATACCTTTAGTAATTCTTATTGAACCCAGACATAGGTTCAGGAGAAAAGTAACCAGTGCCTTCTCTAAGCGTGTAAAGCTGTGATGACAATAAGCTCCAAGGATTTGGACAAAGCAACATGAGGAATGGTACTTTATGCTGGAATTCCAAGTAAACACATACCCATTTATTTTAGCTATTATTATACTGTCTGTATAAATCTCTACTATACACACAAATCCACACAGAATTATAAAGATAGATCTTTATTACATATATAAAAAATGTCAGTAGAAATCACATTTATGGCTTAAAACCTCACATTACTTTTCAGTTACTAAAATACTTCTGCAACTAAGTTTCAAGTGTAAAAAAACCCAGTGAGGTAAGAGTTCCCCATAGTAACCCGATAGGAACGGTGACATTATTTTCGCTTTTTGCTTTCTGATGCTGTCTTTCTGTTTTGAATGCCATTCTGAGTATGACTGCTCTTAGCCTTTGGCAAAACACTTCCTTTCAGTTTCTTCACCATTTTCAGTAAACAGTAACCAAGTAATATTGTACACACAATAAACACAGCGATCACATCAAGCATGTAATACTGGTAGAAGAACATGTCATACATGCTGGGGCGCAGATGTGCTGCTCCATTGTGCCGTAGAACATAGTCCAGCCAGTAGACCGTGCGGTTCACTGGGTGGAGAGGCTGGTCATGATGCAATCTGGATAAATACATCGCTTGCTCCTTGTACCTGGAAATTAGAGCAAACTCATTTCATTAACCAATTTTTTTTAAAATTTGTAATATTGAAATTTAGCTGTAGACTCCCTTATCTGTGCCTTTGTTGTCACCCTAATTGGTCAGTCAAGTGTGCTGGAGTTGTCAAATTTCTGCCCTCCATAAACCTGAAACTGTTCCAAAGTTCTGCTACCTGTGTTTTAACTCAAAGTCCACCATTCAGTAATCATCCTTGTACTCTCTGGTCTACAGTGGCTCCTACATGTGCTGATCCTCTAAGACCATGTTTACAAACTCACCCCCTGACCACACTGTCCTCTGTAATCATCAGTCTCTCAATACACAGATCAACACACCTCTAATTCTGGCCTCTTGAACATCCTTGATTTTAACCAGTCTACTAGTTGTGTCCTTGCCTTCAGGTGCAGTGGATTAGAACTCTGGAATATCCCACCTTAAACCTCTTCACCTTTCTACCTCAACAACTTTCTTTAAGACACTCATTGGAACAGAGTTTTTTGCCTCGGTGATCCCATTGTGAAGAATCAAAAACAAAGTTGCTGGAAAAGCTCGGCAGGTCTGGCAACATCTGTGAAGGAAAAAACAGAGTTAACGTTTCGGGTCCGGTGACCCTTCCTCAGGACCCTTCTGAGGAAGGGTCAGCGGACCTGAAACGTTAACTCTTTTCTCCTTCACAGATGCTTCCAGACCTGCTGTGCTTTTCCAGCAACTTTGTTTTTGTTCCTGATTTACAGCATCCACAGTTCTTTCAGTTTTTATCCATTGTGACGAAAATTGTTTTGACCCCTCAGTAAAAAGTGAGAGGTAGGAGGGTGGGGTTGAAGATTTAGGAGAGCAAGAGGAGGGGGAATGGAGCTTCACAGCGACTATTACTGCCTCAAAGCTTGTGCCCTCAATCTTACTACTTTGATCATCAAGCCTTTGGTCATCTGTCCTATAATCTCTGTCTTCTTCTACTATCAATTTGTGCTTTATAATGTTTTGGAAATGTATCTTGGTACGTTATTAGTTTAGCAGCACTATATCAACAAGGTGTTTCAGTACATTCACATAAACTACTATCATACAAATAGTGAATCCATTAATTCGAAGGGCTTTCTCGGATACAGTCAAGCTAACTGGATTGCCCAGAAGAGCTAGCACAGGCTGCTTGGGCTGCGTGGCTACTTTCTGTACCATGCTATTCTGTGATATTTGTTTCTTACCTTGAATCCGTGGTCACTGTGATAATAGCTTGATAAATATCCTCTTTAGTCATAGTTTTCCAAGATAGAAAAATCCCCATTCCTTTAGCATGAACTCTTGTCATGATGTCATAGTGGTCTCCAAAGAATGGAATTCCTACCACTGGCACACCATGGTAAATGGACTCGTAGATGCCATTCAAACCTCCATGGCTTAAAAATGCCTTTACGTTTGGATGACCTAAAATAAACTTCAAGTTAATAAAATCAATATTGTAGTGATTTGCCCCCATTAAGGGAAGACCTTAGTTTGACTCTCTTCCAGCAATTAGCTCAGTGCCTACTTGGCACATCAGTTTTATTATATCTGCTTTCAAACTTCAGTTCCTGGCCTTGAGGCAACTGACTGATTGATTGATTGATTTCTGATAGTCAGGGGGTTCTTGCACCCAGTTAGCATTTTAAAAATAAGGATATTTGTGTGGGGGGAGCTGAGGGGAAAGAGATAAAGACTTGATGCCTGTCCCTTATGAGGTCTGTAAGTTTTAGGTTTTAGTGTTCTGAGGAAGGGTCACTCGACCTGAAACATTAACTCTGACTGGTCTCCACAGATGCTGCCAGACCTGCTGAGCTTTTCCAGCAATTTGTTTTTGTTTTAGGTTTCAGTGAACTGTTTCAAAATTCATCCGTAATCATTTCTGATCCAGTCTTGCTAAAATATTTGATTTTCTCCCAATTTTTAAAAATGTTTTAAACTTAAACCTGTACTACAGTATTGCTTCAAGACTGCTGACACATACCCAACAAGTCATTCTGCGGTATCCACTCCATCAACTTTGTATTGTTCCCCAAGGAACTTGGCCTTCTCCCAAAAAACCTAAGGATTGAAAAGACTGTATTTGATCTCGTGCAGTTACTGTTGTTATACCTTCTCTAACTCATGGGGGAAAAAAAAAATCAAATTGCCAGAAAGGACACTAAACTATGTATTCAGTTATTTGAAAGAGAATGAGAGATCCAAAACACCAGACTGATTTGAGAAGATGAACAGGTGGTCTGGAAAGTGGCAAGGCAATCCAGTTTTAATGGTCTTTTTAAATTTTCCTTCCTCCAATGTGAGCAAGTGACCTCTGCCCTTAAAGTCAACTGGAATCACACCAGAACCATAGTTTCCACAACTCTGCTGTGGCTTCCACCAGCTGTAACTCAAAGATTTTTAAATGCTGCTGTAAACAACACAATGCTGGAACAGCACATTGCTTTGGTCAGACTGTACCTCAACTGTGAGCTGATGGCAAGAGATTTTGGGCTTGAAGGGCCTGCAATCCCTCACGTGTAGAAAGTTTGAGGGACGAGCTGATTGATTGAGATGTTTAAAATGTTTAGGGTAGACAAACTATTTTCTTAGGGAACCTGGGAAGCAGGGGACAATGGAACATCAAAAATTACAGCAGGTGTTTAGGAGGGAAAACAGGAAGCAGGTTTTCACAGTTGTCTAAAGTCTGGACTCATCAGAAAAACCCATCTGGATCACTGATGTCCTTTAGGGAAGGAAACCGCCATCCTTACCTGGTCTGGCCTACAGGTCACTCCAGATCCATAGCAGTATGGTTGACTCTTAACTGCCCTCTGGACAATTAGGGTAATAAATGCTGCCTGGCTAGTGACGCCCTCATCCCGTGAAAGGATGTTGTATTTCCCCAACAAAGCTGAGAGTCCTAAAACAATTGGAGGTGGGAGTATCAGGACAAGCAGAGCTACACCGGGAAGGAGGTATGGAGGAACATTATCCAGTTGGTGTGGCAGGCTGAGATGTTCAACAACCTGCTCCTGTTCCATATTTGAAAGGTTTCTTCAACATAAAAAATCCCCAAAAAGGGCACACGACTGGTTCTTGGATTGCTGAAGGCCTTGTGCTAATGACCTTTGATAAGGAATTTCAGTGTAACAGTACAGCAATACTGAAACAGAGCTATATATTCAAGTATGGTATGTGACTGGGAGAACTTAGAAGTGATGATGTTTCCAGTTTGTCCGTCTTGGTAGCAAACCTTGCAAGGGAGATGCAGTTAATAAAACAGGTGTGCCAAAGTCCAATACCAGTATTCCACCTGGTCATTTGAAGTTTGTTATTAATATCAATACTTATGAAATTTATACCTCAACTTTTTAAAAATATGCTTTTAAAAAATTTTGCTAACAGTTTAGCAAAGTTTGTTGTACTTACCTCCAGAGGACTTTCTGTGGTAACCGAGCAAAAGCAGCTGCTAGTTTTTCTGTCAGGTTATCAGAAAGATATTTGACTCCAGCACCAAATGACACCACCACAACTCCTTCCGGTGCCCCTTCCACCCAGGTGGCCAGGTCCTTCAAACAAAAAGTCAAATCAGATACCAAGCAGCCTGTATCCGCTAGTTGGTTCAGATTTTTATATCATGTTTTCCCATAGATTGTGGATTGCACTTCTTTCCCCAAAAGCTAAATACCTGCTGGCCAGGGCTTAGTCATACTGGAGCCTAAGTCACAAAATTCTGGTTTAAGCTTTGCTCTAGATCTTGAACACAAAGGTCAAAGCTGATACCCATTGGAAGGGAGCATTGCAGTATCAAAGGTGCCATCTTTTAGTTGAGATATTAAATCAATCTGCCTGTTCTGGTGAATAGAAAGGTCCCATGGCAGTTTTTTTGAAGGATAGGAAAGAATGGTACCTACATTTTGGCTAATATCATTTAAAAAAAGTTATCTAGTCATAATGCAAATGGAAATTTTGTATGAGTTTGCTGAGCATCAATTGGCTGTTATTTCTCCTGTGTTGCGACAGTGGTTGCACTTCAAAACATGCTTCGTTGGCTATGAAATGTTTTGATTCTAAAAGGTTCTGTGTGTGCACAAGTCTTTCTTGGTTAATCCTGTTTTAAGGGGCACTAAGGAGGTGAAATTTATCTAGTACCTGAAACTGGCAAATTGGAGCACATCTGCAACACTTAACTGGCCCAACGTTCACTCAGCTTCAACCGCACACAACTACTGAACCGTGGTCAATCAGGAATCTGGAAAGTTCGAACATTTCAAATACTGAATTAACCTTTAGGGTGGTGGTGGGGCGGAGTGCTGAGCTTGTAGAGGTAGCAGACTTCAGTAGGAGCCAGGCAAAGCACTTCTGGTTACAAACTGAAACAAGTTTAATGCACTGCCCTTTCTACAGCTTACAGTCGTCCCTTTAGCAGTCAGTAGCTAAGTCACCATCTAATCAAAAAAACTACCATTTGCACAAAGCATAATGTACCCAGTTTATACTACATTTGGAAAGCATCCCCTCTAAATAGGCACTGAGCCCTGACTAGCACATAGAAAGGACCCCAAGCCGTCACTGTGCTGGTACTTGGGGCTTGCAAGTTAATATAGCCATTAATATTGTGAATCTGCAAGAACGGAACTATCAATACTTCTTATTTCCCAAATCAACATTTTCTCTGTCAACAAACAGGCAGGATGTGACTCCATATTATCATTTAAATTATTTTTCCTGCTTGACTGAAAGGGAACATGAAATTTGTTTTTATCCTCTGAACATTTGTGGAGCCAGCTTCCCTTTCATAGTGCTTGTCCCCAAATCGACTCTCGGAGTCTATTCCATTCCAACCTCTGAAGCAACATTTTTCCTTGTGTTCACTTGCCTTGGGTCAGGCTTGTCAGTTCCATACTTTTGTCCTTTGCTAAATAATTTTCATTGCTGCTAACTTGTAAAACCTATTATTTCAGACAATACCAGAGACCAAACTGGTGTACAGTGACCTTGAGACGGTAGATTCAAATTGCTGACCTCAATTTTAAACAAGGGATTAAATTAAGGCATATTTCTTTGTGCTCCTTCAAGCTCTGTTTGCAATCCTGACAGTCCATGTAACTAAATAACTGAGGGGATCAATTTGAAGTATGGTCTTTCAAATCTCATCTTTCAGACTTGCCACTAGAACAGCTGAAATACAGCCCAAGCTCTGTTTAAAATTCTCAATCTTCCCCCACACTGCCTCATTACTCACGCATACTGTGTAAGGTAATGATTCTGAAAGGAACAAAGTTGGAGACTGCATTAAGCTCCTCCCAGTCTGGTGATATCACACTGGCTTGGGTAGGGATAAGACAGAACAGCTCCAAGACCTGTGTACCCTTTGGTCTGCTTAGTCTTACATTAACATCTTTGACATTGTTACTTTTACCTAGTTGCTATCATACAATATCATGCATATTGTTTGAGACAATCACACCTCTTCTCAGTAGGAATCAGTTGGTGGCAGCAAGCTGCCACTCAAAAGCCAAATATGACACACATTATAGAACCACAGAAGAATTGTTATGATGCAAAAGGCAGCCATTGGCCCATTATGTCTCTACCAGCTCTCTCAGCATTTTGACTTAGTGTCAATCTCCTGCTTTCCCCTGCGACCCTATTCATTATTTAAAAAGAAGCAATCATCTATTCTCCTCTTGAATATCTCCCAATTTGACCTCCCCCCACGAAAATTCCTGCCATTGCATTCCAGACCCCGACTATTCGTTGTGTGAAAAAGGTTTAAAAACTGAGTCAAAAACAAGATGCTGGAAAAGCTCAGCAGGTCTGGCATCTGTGCAAGAAGAATCAGAGTTGACGTTTCAGGTTCAGTGGCACTTCCTCACGATACTGCCAGACTTACTGAGCTTTTCCGTGTATGAGGATAAATTGGAGAAGTTGTTTTCTCAGACAAGAGGAGATCTGATCTAAGTTTTAAAAATTATAAGAGGTCTGTACAGAGTAGACAGGGAGAAACTGTTCCCACTTACAAGAGGTTCGAAAACCAGAGGTCTCAGTTTTTAAAAACCGAACGAATTGCAGATGCTGTAAATTAGGAACAAAAACAGAAGTTGCTGGAAAAGCTCAGTACAGCATCTGCAATTCGTTCGGTTTTTAAAAACTGAGACCTCTGGTTCTCGAACCTCTTGTAAGTGGGAACAGTTTCTCCCTGTCTACTCTGTACAGACCTCTTATAATTTTTAAAACTTAGATCAGATCTCCTCTTGTCTGAGAAAACAACTTCTCCAATTTATCCTCAGAACTGACACTTCTCATTCCTAAAGCTACTCGGAGATAACATCGTGCCGAGCTGGAGGAACACAGCACAGCTTTCCTGCTCCTCTGATGCTGCCTGGCCTGCTGTGTTCCTCCAGCTCCACACTGTGTTCTCTCATTCCTAAAGCTATTGTTGTTATCTCCTTTGGCACTCTCTGCAATGCGTTCACATCTTTATTAAAGTATGACACTATACTCAAGGTGAGCTCTAGCTCATATCCTTTATGCCACTATTAGTAAAGTCTAGGTACTGTGACAACAAGGTGCAGGGCTGGATGAACACAGCAGGCCAAGCAGCATCATAGGAGCAGAGAGGCTGTAGGTACTGTGTGCTTTAGTCACACTTGCTCTACCTGTCCTGCCACTTTTAATGAATTATGTACATATACATTCTGCTCCTTCACACCTAAAGAACAGTACCACTCTTACCCCTGCAAAACAGATCCACGCAATAAAAACCAAAAAAGAATCCCCCTCGTCCTCACGTACCACCCCACCAACCTCCGGATCCAACGCATCATCCTCCGACACTTCCGCCATCTGCAATCCGACCCCACCACCAAAGACATCTTTCCCTCCCCACCCTTATCTGCTTTCCGGAGGGACAACTCTCTCCGTGACTCCCTTGTCCGCTCCACACTCCCCTCCAGCTCCACCACACCCGGCACTTTTCCCTGCAACCGCAGGAAGTGCTACACCTGCCCCCATACTTCCTCCCTCACCCCCATCCCAGGCCCCAAGAAGACTTTCCACATCAAGCAGATCTGCCAATGTGGTATACTGCATCCGCTGTACCTGGTGTGGCTTCCTCTACATCGGGGAAACCAAGTGGAGACTCGGGGACCGCTTTGCAGAACACCTACGCTCGGTTCGCAACAAACAACTGCACCTCCCAGTCGCGAACCATTTCAACTCCCACTCCCATTCCTCAGACGACATGTCCATCCTGGGCCTCCTGCAGTGCCACAACGATGCCACCCAAAGGTTGCAGGAACAGCAACTCATATTCCGCTTGGGAACCCTGCAGCCCAATGGTATCAATGTGGATTTCACAAGTTTCAAAATCTCCCCTCCCCCCACTGCATCCCAAAACCAGTCCAGCTCGTCCCTGCCTCCCTAACCGGTTCTTCCTCCCACCTATCCCCTCCTCCCACCTCAAGCCGCACCTCCATCTCCTACCGACCAACCTCATCCCGCCCCCTTGACCTGTCCGTCCTCCCTGGACTGACCTATCCCCTTCCTAACTCCCTACCTACACTCACCTTTACTGGCTCCATCCCCGCCTCTTCGACCTGTTTGTTTCCTCTCCACCTATCCTCTCCTCTATCCCTCTTCTATCCGCCTCCCACTCTCTCCCTATTTATTTC